TTGGATAAAACAATATATTATTATTTTAATAATAGTAATAATAACAGAAATAATGTGCTAAATGTGAAAATGTTGGGGGAAAAAAAAGATGACTTAGTTTTCAGGCCCTGTTTTGTGCCCTACGTGGAACGTGTTACTTGTTAGTTTTTTTATTTATTTATTTTAATTATAGTTATAAAGCCTTTTGAAATCATTTTTGTTCTTGCATTTTATATTTTGCAGGCTGCATTAAAATGAAGCTACTCTGTGACCACACTCTTAAAAAATGCTGGGTTAAATACAACCCAGTGCTGGGTAAAATAGGGACAAACCCAGCAATTGTCTGTTTTGACCCAGCGGTTGGGTTAAATGTTTAACCCAACCTTCTGGGTAGTAACCCAACCGCTGGGTCAAAACAACCCAATTGCTGGGTTTGTCCCTATTTTACCCAGCACTGGGTTGTATTTAACCCAGCATTTTTTAGAGTGCAATATTTCTTTCTCTCCCATATTCCTACAGTTTTGATGATCTAATAATACATATGAAACTGTTGATGAAAATGCTCAGATGCTGTAACTGAATTGTTCTCTTTAAAATCTGTGTTTGCTTTGTGTTTCATAAGCCGTAGCAGTGAAGTTCTGGTCTCTTGCTTTATCTTGATTGGCTGGGAAGGGCCAGAAGTGAAGCAGGACTGAGTGAAGCAGCGCAGACGCTCTCATTCGGAGATTAGGCAACAGAAGGACCGGAGTCTGTGAACTCTGAGGCTCCCGCTCTCATCCAGACCAGAGCAGCCGCATCGGACGATCAACAGGAAATCCAGCGTGAGGACAGGAAACGCTATGAGTGAGAGGAGCTGCGGTGGCCTGAGGGACACGGCGTGACGTGCTGGAGCTCTGTTCTTGGACAGGTGAATATTGAGCTGTGTTCATGCTGCTCGCGGGGAGAAGAGCGGTGCTCAGAGTTCAGCTCTGGATTCTTATTGTGCTTCTCTTCAGAGGTCAGGTGAGTCAGTGACATTCACACATACGCCTCTGCACATCACTGCCAGAAGGGTCTAGAAAAAGTTTCATTTGATACTTTTTAGCTTTGCAAACTGCAGTCAATACACTTGTTTTACAAGAAAATACTGTTTCAGTCTTTACTTCAGTTGAGTATATTTTCTTTGTGAAATATACTAGCAATTTCTGAGTGAGAATTGTTTCTAAGTAAATCCTACAACGACTTTTTTTTAGTGTAGTTAGTTGTAGTGTAGTTAATAACTTGAAAAAGAATTTAAAAATAGAATAAGAGGTTTCTGAATTTCCTTTTTTATTCTAAGTTATTAGGATAGTTAATGGGATAAAAAAAAGAATTCTGTAATCATGGCAAAATATTTTTCAAAGAAAATGATTGAAGATTATACGATCTACAGATGATGTTGCATTTTACTTCTACTTCAAAATGTAATTCAAATGTATTTATTGTAATTATTTGTAAAATGAACTAGCACTTTCTGAGTGAAAATGGTTTCAAAGTACATCCTATACAAATGTTTTCTGGCCTAATAATTAGTTAAAAAGTAACTTGCAGTAGATAAAATAATAAAAGTAGAAGTTATTAGTTTTTCAAAGTTGTAAACATTAAATTCTACAGATATTATCGAAATGCATTTTACAAGAAAATATTATTTCAGTTTTTCTACTTCAATATTGCATGCTTAATTCAATGTGTTACTTGCAGTTTCTTTGTAATTATTATTAAAAAAAAAATTGCACTTTTTATGTAAAATGTTTGTGCACCGAATTTGTATCATATATCAAATGCTATATCTTGATATTATTATAAACAGATACCTAGGCATATCTCTGCCCATATGTTGTTGTTTAAGCTCTAATATAAATCCACATACCCTGAAAGTTTCGCAGACAGACATGAATCTCTGGAGATTAGCACAGAGAGAGTTCGGCAATGTTGGAGAAACATTGCAAAATATGCTCCAGATTTGATAATCTGAATGTGATTTGTGTAAAGGTCTCTTAAATATTTATGATGTGATTAAACATTTACGATGCAGCGCAACTTACAAAAAGGTATAAAAGAGCCTGTAAAAGGTGGACAGTTTTGCAAGTTGCTATTAAAACCTGTATAAAAATATAGCCAAGGGCTTACTTAGTAACAGTTTAACTGAGAAAGTGGAATCTGATATATTTTTCACACACTTATCAACTGCAAATTAGTAGTTTTGAAATGTACAAATTATTGTAAACTGTCATTAAAACTGATGCCATATTTCATTTTAAGCTTTTTTTCAAAAAATATATAATTATTGAAATGTTTAAACCAATGCACAAAAGATAGATTAACAACTCTAAAATACAAAAGTGTCTGTGTGCATGTTGGTCACTTTCACAATTGTGTCAAATGTCAGCATATACAGTTTTGTGCAATCTTTGTGAGCTCAGTCGAATTACAGTACATTGGACAAGGTTATAACCCTCCCTGTCTGCGCAGACATGATATTTCTAGGATTTGTTAACATTTAGGTGAAAGTTCTGAGTAAATCTTATATTTAAAATTAAACAGATTATGCTGAATCAGATACATCAGTTGAGTGAATATGCAGTACCAGGTTTGCAATCATATTATAAAACAGAAAGGAGATGTTGATTTTTAACCTCAAAATAGGGTCTTGTCCAGTAAATCCTGCTATTTGTACATATATTGTCAGATCAGGAGGATAGTGGTCATTTATAATGTGCTCATTTTTATGTGCTTAAAGTGCTTTTGTAGTAATACAGTTCCTCATATAAATACAGTATTAGTATGGTTCTTGTAAAACATACTGGTTTTTCTATAAAAAAATTGTGATTTAAAGGGTTAGTTCACCCAAAAATGAAAATTCTGTCATTAATTACTCACCCTCATGTCGTTTCAAACCTGTAAGACCTTCGTTCATCTTCGGAACACAAATTAAGATATTTCTGATGGAATCTGAGAGCTGTCTGACCCTGCATAGACAGCAACGCAACTGAAAACGTCCCAAGTCCAGAAACGTAGCAAAGAGATCTGTAAAATAATCCATGTGACATCAGGGGTTCAACCGTAATTATACGAAGAGAATTATCATTTTTGGGTGAACTAACCCTTTAAATATATTACTCACTTTAAATATTATTTAATATAGATCTACTCTGTTCATATTAATAAGTTGTGTTAATATAGTAAAATCTTTAGCAGTGTTTTATTAGTCCTACTTAATATAGCATAGAAACATTAAACCCAGTATTCAGAGTATCTGCAAATGAGTAACAAGAATGCATCCAAGCAACTGATATTCAAGAGTTGGCATTGTAAATGAGGAAGAATGTAAATATTTATCTGTTCATTGTAGCAGAAATTAAAATGTGTTTAATATCACCTCCAATGGCAAGCACACAGCACTCTGTGGTGTGATTAATCGAGTCCTAATAAAACAAGATTCAAACTAGAAACTTCTAAAAACGCAAAGTTGGTGACTAAAAGCTTGGTAAAGTTATTGCTAAAAAAGAGAGAAAGATCTGTTTAAGAGAACAACATAGACCTTTCCTCTGAGAACATTTATACATTTATATATACTGCCATCTTGTGTTTGAAAAGGTACCATTAATCGTACATCTACATCAGCCCAATATAACCTTAAGATCTCATTATGACTCATTGTGCAATACTCACACTAAATCCACACATTACCAGCAAGTAAATGTCATGTATTATGGTTTTGAAAAGGTCATGGGCTCCATGCTGGATGATCTGATCTATAAACGTGGTGAATATCAAGAGAACTGCACACGATTCCTGAAAGCCACTTTTCCTACTGGAACTGGTGAGTGAAACCAGCTAAAATGTGTAGATATTTCTCTCTCTCTCTCTCTCTCTCTCTCTCTCT